TTTCTTTTTTTATTTAAAGGGTTAGTTCACCCAAAAATGAAAATTAAGTCATTAATAACTCACCCCATGCTGTACCACCCGTAAGACCTTCGTTCATCTTCGGAACACAAATAAAGATATTTTTGATTGAATCTGAGAGCTGGATCAGTCCTACATAGACTTCCTAAGGGACTGGCTCTTGACGGCCCATAAAGTCATTAAAGAAAAGGTTTAAATATTCTATGTGCCTACAGCGGCTCAATTATAAGTTTATCAAGCGACAAGACTACTTTTTGTGCGAAAAAAACATAAATAACGACTTTATTCCACTATTCCATTACTTCCTTATTGGCGCATGCGCGAGAACTGAGACGAGGACGTTCTCATTCGTCTACTTCTTGTTACCGGCTGCTCACCGCTTAGGAGTTTTACCGCCCCCTACCGTATAAGATGATGTGCTGATATAGCTGGAAGCGCAAAACTTTCTATTTACAAGCAGAGGAAGATGCGCGCTGTACATACGCTTTTCAATTTGCGTATTTTCCGCACTATAAGGTGCACTTAAAAGCCTTTAATCTTCTCAAAAAACGACAGTGTTCCTTATAATCCGGAGCGCCTTATATATGGATCATCATTTTATACGGTAGGGGGCGGTAAAACTCCTAAGCGGTGAGCAGCCGGTAACAAGAAGTGGTCGAATGAGAACGTCCTCGTCTCAGTTCTCGCGCATGCGCCAATAAGGAAGTAATGGAATAGTGGAATAAAGTCGTTATTTATGTTTTTTTCGCACAAAAAGTATTCTCGTCGCTTGATAAACTTATAATTGAGCCGCTGTAGGCACATGGAATATTTAAACCTTTTCTGTAATGACTTTATGGGCCGTCAAGAGCCAGTCTCTTAGGAAGCCTATGGAAGAGTGATCCAGCTCTCAGATTCAATCAAAAATATCTTTATTTGTGTTCCGAAGATGAACGAAGGTCTTACGGGGTTGGTACAGCATGGGGGTGAGTAATTAATGACTTAATTTTCATTTTTGGGTGAACTAACCCTTTAAGTTGCCAGCCATCGGCAGCATTTTTGATGATGTTCTCAAAATATGGCCTACTGTATATTTTGTTGTATGAATATCTGAACATAAAATATCAAAAGAAAGATCAGAGTCTCCGCTTTAAAAGTCTTGTTTTTTTTTTTATATCAACAAATGAATGTGGATACGTTTCATAAAAAATGCAATATTTTTTTGCCGCGGAAAATTCCGTCAATCACGGGGAAGAGTTTATATAAAATTCTACGTATATAAAAATGTTTTAAACATTAAATGTACTCTGAACATTAATTAGAAAATTAACAGTAGTACATTTATGAACGAACCTAGAATAGTAAATTATATTATTAGTCCTTCATGAATTAATGCATTAATGTATTCAATTTTCTAAATATAGTTTCAGTACATGAGTATATCAGTAGGCATACTAATATACTACTAGTATATTAGTATACTATTCCTAGTATAGAAAGATGTCAATTTGTTTTTTAGAAAATTCCATGGTCACAACTCTCTGAAGGAATACTACGAGAAGGAGAGCTGTGTTCATTACATTCATAATGTGAGTAAAATGATAATGAAATTTAGTGCATAATTTTCGAGAGTCTAAGGAAATGTGTGTTTGCTTTCTGTTTTTCACTAGTTTTTCTTGCTGTGTTGCAGATAAATGTGCCTCTGCTGCTGGTGAACTCGGCTGATGATCCGCTTGTGCACAACACGTTGCTCACCATTCCTCGCACACTCGCAGGTACTGCACTGCACACCAAACTATCAAAAGACATGGGGGGAAAACCAAAGAGTGTAGTTTGAGTTATACAAAAGAATAGTTATTCATTTTATCCTCAGTCCACAGAAAATGTGCTTGACCGTGATAAATGTGGTGCCAGATTTCTATAACTATTGGTAAAGTGGAAGAGATGATCTGTTCGCTTCACGATGATCTGTGCGACCTCGTAGTCAATGAAAAAGTAGTCACGATTTTATCACGGTTATTCTGCTCAAAATTGTTGTTATTTGAGAAATGTGTTTTTTACGTTTCATCAGAATTATTTCCCTTTTATCTATAAGCACATATCCTGTGTTACGCAGCATGTCTCATGTGTCAAGCAAGCAGGTTCGGCTGAGTTTCTGTTTTTGTTTGATCAATGTTTAAATGCGAGTAAAAGCTTAAAGTCGATCTGCTCATCACCTAATGCGATCGTGTCTCTTCATAAAATTTGGACTAAACCGCTCAATTCATATGGATTAGTTTTGCGATTTTTTTTATTTTTTATTTTATTTTTATTTATTTATTTATTTTTTTTATTTATGACCTTTTATGAAGCGTCAAAGTGGTAGTTGTGTAGCTGTCTATGGAGGGACTGAAAGCTCTCTGATTTCAAAGTTTATTACTTGGCCAAAGTTTTCAGGTTAGGAGAGACCTGAGGTTGAGTAATTGAAAGAATTTATTTCTGGGTGAATTATTGAATATACTTTGAAATATTGAAAGTGATGCTTTTTTTAACCCTTTTTTTGAAGTGCTGTATTTTTCTTGTAGTCATTTCTGCCCACTTCGCATGGCTTCTCCGGGTTCTTCAACATGCTTACAGCCTGTTTCCACACTGATCTTTTATTAGATTATGACCTCATATGCCAAAAACACCCATAATTACTACAGAGCCCCACATAAACGCATGTGACTCATGAGATCTCTATTTGCTTAAACATACTTGGTATATAATAAATATTGTGTCATAAGGCAAACTCTGGTCAACATTGGTGGCCTATTTATTGCTAAGTGTGACAGGAAGTCAGAGTTGGAAACCTGAGTGTTTTATCGTGTATGAAAGAGCTCAGTATTTTTGAATATTACCTAGATATAAAATGACTCATGTTGTCATAAGATTTATCACACCGCCTACAATAGATGCTATTCTCTGTATTTGAGCTGTTGCAATTCTGAGATTCGTTGGTTAATTTTCACCTTCCAGAAAAGAAAGAAAACGTGATCTTCGCACTGACACTGCACGGTGGACACCTGGGTTTCTTCGAGGGCGCTGTGCTGTTCCCTCAGCCCCTCACCTGGATGGACAAGGTCATTGTCGGCTACGTTAATGCAATCTGCCAGTGGGAGAAACAGAAACCACCGTGCCTAAGTCAAGGCGCCCATTCCAGCGAAACCAAATGCCAAGACAGTAAATCTTAACCGACCCCGTCTCCGTTGCACCTCCACCGAGACGTTTTCACCGCCGCACACGAGGGGGATCGGACAACTATTTTCAAGCGTTCACTGTCAGTGGGGAATATGTGTTTCTCTTTTGTATCACGGTTTATAAACGACATGAATCGTAATGACTTTTCAAAGGAGAAAACGGAAAAGCCACTCGATGACCAAAAACAGTCATATAACCGGTGTAGCGAGAGCACCTTTTTATATTTACTGTAGTTTGTAGTTGTTTAGATATGATCAGTATATCTTGCCCTCGAATTAGGACACTAAAAACTGATTAGTTATCACTGCTAAATAGGATCGAACAGAGCTGAGCGAATCTCACAAAAAACATCCAAAGTCAAAAAAGGAAAAGGGGAGGGAAGGGGTTGGGGGAGTAATATTTTGGATAATATTAATAGTCAATATTTTGCATAAATAAATAGAAGGATGCCTATTTTTGGACAATTAAAAATGTCTGCACATCCCCTCACTTTTGTTATTATTATTTTTTTTTGTAAATGTTTGGTGAATCTCTATACTCGCAGTAATGTTTTACTGGAATACAATAGTTTAAATCAGCATAAACTAAAGGCGGTGCAACAAGTAATAAAGAGAATGAGATTTTATCTCAAGATTAATTATAATTGCATGTTATGATGCAAAAATGTAATGGCCCTTAAAGGAGAACTCCGGTCAATTTTAACCTTGAGCTTATTTTTTTTGTACATTTGGAGTGCTGTCAGTACAGACAAAAACGACAGAAATCGGTGTTGCCCACACCGTGTTATCATCTTTTTAAAATTAGTACCCTGTTGACTTCAATGGGGCATGTTCAAAACCTGCTTTTAGCCTCTTAACATCCTTGATTTGTCATTACGAGTGCGCAGCCATGTGAGTGGTGTTATGAAGAGTGACCACGGTCAATCTGACTGCAGTAGATGTGAAAGATATTAATAAAAATGATGTTAATTCAGCCAGCTCACATTCCTGTATTTACTTCCTGTTTTCGGTCGAAGTCCACAGTAGTCGATTGTCCAATGATGTACCAATGATCGTGTGCGCGAACTCGACAATCGACTACTGTGGACTTCGACCGGAAACAGGAAGTAAATAGTGGTATGTTGAATTACCATAATTTTGACTGCAGTAGATGTGAAAGATATTAATAAAAATGATGTTAATTCAACCAGCTCACATACCTCTATTTACTTCCTGTTTTCGGTCGAAGTCCATAGTAGTCGATTGTTGAGTTTGCGTGTGCGCGATCATTGGTAACTAAGCGACAGTGGCGACCCAGACTGCCAGCCGATGACGGTGCTGTGTGGTGTTCTGGGAATATCAGCTCAAATGGATAGTTAATCCGAATCAGATGTTGAACATCATTTAGTTACCAATGATCGCGCGCACTAACTCGACAATCGACTACTGTGGACTTCGACCGAAAACAGGAAGTAAATACAGGTATGTGAGCTGGCTGAATTAACATCATTTTTATTAATATCGTTCACGTCTACTGCAGTCAGATTGACCGTTATTACACTTTTAATAAGACCACTCACATGGCTGCGCACTCGTAATGACAAATCAAGGAGGTTAACAGGCTAAAAGCAGGTTTTGAACATGCCCCATTGAAGTCAACAGGGTGCGAATTTTAAAAAGAGGATAACACTGTGTGGGCAACATAGCACTCCAACTGACAACTGACAGCACTCCAAATGTACAAAAAAATAAGCTCAATGTTAAAATTGACCGGAGTTCTCCTTTAAGAATCTCTTTCGGCTAAATAATTCATTACTTCCTTTTGTTTTTGGATGGGAATACTACCTACATGTTTTTGACGACTTTTGTGAGATTCACCCAGCCAGCCATCTTATTAAACAGACCCGGCAAACTTCACAATACGTAACACGTAAGTTTATGGGAAGTGAGTGTTATGCAGGCACTGTGTGCTTCTGGATAAGACCGGCGTACCGTTTGAGTGCACATTAACATTTGATATTAAGTAGCTGTCTTCGGTTTTTGGTCTGGTAACTGTGTTAGCACAGGCTAGCATTCACGTCGCTCATATTTCAAAACTAACTAGACCTTTTCAAGTATACCAGGGTATGATGAGAAAACGCGTGAATCTATACCAGTCCTTGTCGGTTGAATCCAAGTCACATTCCTAGTCGGATCAGTTTTTGTTTAGCACTTTTATATAATGTTTGCCATATGATCCGTTATGTTGTCAGAAAGAGCTTAGAGAGACTAGCCGACCATATTAAAACTAGAGATGAAAAATGAAAACAAGAGGGAGAGCGAAAACCTTGAATAAATTCCTGGATGATTCCTCCTTGATCACAAGCCCACTATGATACCACAAGCACTAAGACGCAGCTTTAGATGGCAAATCCCATTGCGTTCAGATCCTGCTGGAGAACAGCAGACACTGTTGCTGCAGTATTGACTCGTGTTTGTGGAGAACCATTGAAGTTAGTAGAACTAGATTGTGTAATGGGTTGATTTGGGACCCAGTGGGAGACAACAGTGCATTGCTAGGTGCATGTCTGTGAAAACTGGTTACTTAAAGGGATTTGTGTTATTGTATTGTTTTAAGGTTTTTTTTATTTATCTTGTTCATTTTCATTTCGCTGTTTTGTGCAATTACTTGATGCAATTTATGTGTTTCTTTACTTTTGGTATCAAGACTGCCTGAAATGGAACTAATCTTCTTCTTCTTTTTTCTGTGACCCACTTGAATAATCAAAAGCTGAGGGGAAAATATATGTTTAAAATTTGAAGGGAACATTTTTCCAAAGGCCTGTGCGGATTCTCCAGACTCGTAAACCTTTAACACAGCGGTTTAGTGCAGTTAGACTTGATTTGTTTCAGGGAAGTCATCAAATGTGAATTTCACAAAATGCCCAGGTCATATTTCACCCCACAATAAAAAAAAGATTTTTAATTATACATATATTTAAATGTATCATTTATAATGATATCATTTAAATATGTATTTAAAATAAACATATATTTTTACTAGGGCTGTCGTACGATTAATCGCATCCAAAATAAAAGTTTGTGTTTACATAATATATGTGGGTGCCCTCTGTATAATTATTTTATATATATAAATACACACACATTCTTGTATACATTTAAGAAATATTTTCATATATATACTGTATATAGATTTCTATATAATTTACATTATATGTAAATATAAATATTTTATATATAAATAATATTTTTTCTTAAATATACATGCATATGTGTGTATTTATATATACAAAATAATCATACAAAGTGCACCCACATATATTATGTAAACACAAACTTTTATTTTGGATGTGATTAATCGCAATTAATCGTTTGACAGCCCTAATTTTTGCATTATCTTCATGGCAAATATGCTGTTTCCTTCATTTTTCTCAATATTCCACCAATAATTTCTTATTTTAACAGTATTTTTTTTTTTTGCAATGAAAATAATATTGTTACAAGCAACACATGACACACATTGAGAAATTTTCGTTACAATTTTTGATTTTGGGATGAAATATTACTTGGCCATTTCTTGACAGATTTTGTGAGATTACATGATCTTTATTGATTTATCATCATGCTGCAGCTGTGAAAGAAAACTACGAATCTTGCACACATCTATTTGCGTTTCCAATGGAAAAGCCATTCGATGACCAAAAAAACAATCAAATAGCCTGTGTAGTGCTATATATATTGTTTAATTGAAAGTTAAGATTTGTCACTGATTGCTGAAAACCCTCAGTCATATGTTGTGAAAAATGTGTATTTCTTAACATATGTAATTGCCTTCATTATTAGTGTTTAGGTGTCTATAGTGAAGCATCTTCTTAAAGGAGAAGGTACCAACTGCACTTTTTAGTGTTATACGTGTCAAAAGATTTTTAGCAATTAGCAGTTGAACGACGCCTCCTATGGGTTATCGGGTGTAAAAGCACTGAGCTGAATGTGCAGTTTCACAGAAAATCCCATCCAGATATTTAGTATTAATTGGTTTAGAGAGAACGTTTACCCAACCCCCCCTTACCCCCCTGTTAGGTCTTGTTTTGTGAATTAGTTCTTGTCTTATTTCTTGAACCTTTGGAAAACGGCAAAATGGTGTTGTAAGCCTAAAAAGCTCCCGATTGGGTGTCAGTGTTCGGCTGTTTCCAGTGATCGGATCTATTTGGCCTTTTACACCAGCGCAAATTCAATCTCTGTTGTAACTCGATCCAGTTTGCCTTTCAGAATGTCTCTTCACTTACTTTTTGCACAAAAAACAAACAAAAACATGCTCATGTTGTACATCCTCTGCAAATGTTAACCAAATTTGTGTATTTTACATTAATTTCAATGTTGTTATTTTTATGTTGTTATTCTTTAATGTACAAAAGTATGATTGTAAACGTGTGCGTTATTGTTTGTATCATATCACCATGTCTGCTTATGAAAACTACCAACAAACTTGCATTGGCTGGTAAAAAAAAAATATAAATGTTTAGTTGAAATATATTGATTGTTTATGGAAACCAAGGAACATTACTTTGTTTGATGATCAGCAATAACCCTCTGAATTATTTTCTCTTTTTCTCCACGCCAAACCGAGATCATTAGCTATTGTGTCAAATGGAGTTTAGAGAAAAGGCATTCATGCTGCAGTCACAAATAGGAATTATAAAAAAAAAGTGAAAGGCCATATATATGTATAAAACATATTTGTCTATTTGCAGAATATAGAGAAGAGTGTTCAGGCTTTCAGATTGACACTGCCCAATGCTTCTGTAATCTCACTTGTAAGGGATTATTTTATCGAAGAGCACTCAATTTTCCTATTTCGACCCACTTTTTCATTAGTTTATTGTGCTTGATGGCTGGTTTTTGAATGTGTCATTTCCATGACCTCAAAACCCCATGCAGCATAATATCTCAATCATTGGTGTGTTTTTGATTTGCGGAAGAAAAAAAAAGGTGTGTGACTGAATAATTTATTATTACAAGAATGGTTATTGTGTTCCAGAAATAAATTATTTTCTTGTTTAAAAAAAAAACAGAGTTGCATTATTTTTTTGGTATTTATGCTGTTTATTATTTTTATTTATTTTATTTTTCCACCTTTTTAATATTGCTATCAACTCTTTCAGATAAGCCCATTTTTAAATACATATTATATAAAGAAGTTATTAATTAATTAAATGAACATTATATAAATATATTAGGATTATACATATTAGAAGTCTATTATGTTCACCGCGGATGCATTTATTTTAATTTTTAATTTCATTTAAAATTATTTTTATTAAAATTAAAATTTATTTTGAATTATAATTTTTTAAAATTAAAGGAACTGTTTTTTTTATTTTAAATTTATTCCTTTCATGTAAAGTGGATTTTTTTTTAACATCATTACTCCAGTCTTCAGTGTCACATGATCCTTCAGAAATCATTATGCTGATTTTCTGCTCAAGAAACATTAATTATTGATTTTGCTGCTTAATATTTTTGTGGAAACCATGGTAAAAAAAAAAAAAAATCAGCATTTTATGACATTATAAATGTGCAAACTTCAATAGTGCATATTATTATTTACATGTGCACAATGTAAAAATTGTACTTTTGCCCATTTTATTGAAAATATTTTATTTGTATTTGAAAATGTCAATTACACTTGACAGGCTAAAGCTCTGGTCTAGAAGAACCAACATGTGGGTTAAAAAGGAAAGCCACAATATTTTATACTTGATACAACCCATTCAGTGTAAAACAACTACGCAACATCTGTATTACCTCTTGGACAAGACTAGTATTTGATTCTCTAATTATTACACTTAATTTTAAAACACAACCAGCACAAAACTTTCTTTTGATCAACTTCAGGCCACGGTTTTCAAGGCAAATGATACATTTCAGTGAGATGAGTAATATTTAATCTCTGCAGTATACTGTACATCTGTCAACAGGTACAGCTTCTTATACTTTTATTGTAATAGAAAAGTGGTCAAAAGGATTAAACTATACATGTAATAATTTCCTATATACACTCTTGGAAAAAAATGGTTATTTGGGTTAATATATAGAACATAGGGTGCTTGACCATAAAGGTTCTATATAAAGAAAAATGTCAAATGATTGCGTGTTACTTTCATGTTCAATAGGTTATTTCAATTATTTCTATTGATAAAGTATGCTTACAAGCAGCTTAATTCATAAAATGAAATTAGAAAAAAAAAATCCATAAAAAGGTGCCATGAAGCGCCTGACAGAATCCTTTCTAGAACCTTTTCTTCTAAGAGTGTAGTGACTATATAAAACATTTTAATATTAAACATGCAAACAAAAGGTTGGTGTCTGTCCAAGTGTTGTACTATTGGCTTGGGTCTTTTAAAGGGCTGTATCTTCAGAGCCAAACAGCTTGATCGCCGTCTCTTTGCCGTCACAATTGGGACCCGTCCCCCCGAAATCCGGAGGAAGGATTTCAGCGCCAAAGTCCCTGAAGTAGCCATCCAGCTCGTCACCATGAACAAAAACCTAGATGAACAGGTTCAAAGTTTTCATTTAAACAGTTTCATATGCACATATGATTAGTCCTCAATATGGTGTGAATAAAATGGATTTGTGTCTTTTTTTAGGTGTACAAGGTTTTAAAGGGGTGGTATAATGCCCCTTTTTACAATGCAAAATAAGCATTGTTAGACTGTGTATGCTAAGTTTTAGCTCAAAATCCCCCACAGATAATTTTTTACAGCGTCTTAAAATTGCCCCTTTTTTGAGGGTCAGTAAAAACGGATCGTTTAGTGTGTCCCTTTAAATGCAAATGAGCTGCTGTACCCGGTATAGAGGGCGGAGCTTCAAGAGCGCACGTGCGTGTGTTAGCAGCTCCTCACATAGACCAGCACTAAAATGTTAGAAATGTTCTGCCTTTTATGTTTAAACTGGAATCTGACAATGATGGAAAGAATGGTTTCTGAATGGTTAGTTATGAATTTATTTGCTGATGTGGAGTTAACCATCTTCAATTAGCAAATTCTGTCATGATAATCTATAAAATCGCTTGTGTGGGAACAACTATAAGATGCTTACAGAGTGATATGGTATTGCATTTGTGTTATGTACTGTATTGCATGCGACAGCTTGAGCTGACTCACAAATAGGCTACTACAACAACTCTTCTCAACATGGACTGGGGTGGGGTTTATGTCAATTTTAGCGTTAGTGATGTCACTAACCCCAGAGGAATGTTGTGTAGTAGTCCCTATCAGCCGTTTGTTGTCCTTAAAAAGCAATTTCTTTAAAAGCAAATATCTTCCTTTGCTTTGAACTTTGAGCATCCTAACTTTGCATGTTAGCTCAAACAGCAAGTTTGAAAAGTGAAATCATAATCAACCATCACTTTTAATCTCCTTTTGAGTTAATTTGTCAGAATAGTGTCATAGTAAACCGTAAAGCTCTTGTGTGTGCCCTGTTCAGATTTTTTTTATACATCCATGATCCACCCCTCACTCCACTCACCCTCTCCAGCAGTTTGCTCTTCATGAAGGGCTTCACCACGTTATAGGTGGTTGTGAAGTACCAGGGCTGGTGGATCACGTGCACCGCCTTGAATCGCGCCGGGAAAGAGTCCTGTATCATACAGACAGCACAAGCTGAATGAGCCAGCACTTCATGATCTTCCTTGTGAGTTATATGAAATTGTTGTGGTTTAAAGGCAGTGTAAGCTGTTACTTGTAACATGTCCACCATCTTCTTCAGCTCGGTGTGTTTGATGCCAGAGGCGTGCTGCATCGTGAAGCCCTTGAAGTTCTCGATGAGGACAAAGCCGTTGATTTGGGTCTCTTCGTTTTCTAAAAGTTTCTCGAGGATTACGCAGTAGGCACGAAGAGTCTGTGGAAAGACACATGGGGTTACTTTAATTGTTAACAAGAACTAATTGCTAACAAAAAACATTGAAATAAAATAAATGTTAATTGAAAAGAATATTTTATTTCAGCTAGTTACCATAGCCTAATTAAGGCATAATTTCTCATTTTATTTTAGTTTTACTTGAAGCACTAAAATAATTATTATTTCAGTTATACTTAATATAATTAAGTATAACTGAAATAAAATAAAAACTGAATAGACACATTAAAAAAAGTGTGAAACAAATTAAAACAACAACAACAAAACAAAAAAAATACTAAAACTATAGCTATTGCTAAAAATATTATTTTAAACTATAATGGTAGGCTATATCAGTGATAGGCCTACTAAAACGATAGTTGGAGAGAAAGCCTCAGTAAAATATTGTGGTAACACTTTACAATAAGGTTCATATTTTACAGTTAACAACATGAACACTGTAGCAAATGTATTGTTCCTTGTTAGTTCGTGTAGGCTAATGTTAACTAATGGAACTTATTTATTGTAAAGCGTTACCAATATTGTCAACTCATTTGTTTTTGAGTAGGCTACTACAGTGCAAGCTTTCTTTTTATATTTAGTGATTAATCTGTATCATTTAAATTTACATCTGCGAAAAGCTTTCAAATTAATCCAGTGTCTTTATCAAACAGCTTCAATTGGACGTTTGTGGGAAGTCGTGTTTACGTCAGGTCAGGTGTGTTCATGTCATTTTCTTCGGAGTAAGATGGCGGTATACACAAAAATACAGCAAGGTTTGTAACTTTATACTTCTAGAAAATGAAAAACAAAGAATATGCATCAGGTGTGTTTTGCTTTTTTATGTTTATTAATTTATGAAGCCACTGTAAACGTGCGCTAGAGCTATGCCTATTAGCCTATTATTAACAATCTTTCCTATTTTGTGCAAGCAGTTAGTTTACTTTGTTGTAAAAAGCCTGACCATAGGCCTAAATACATTGTTTCTCACTGACACACCCCAACTCGTATACATCGGGGCTTAAGAAAATCCCGAGTTTAGCTAACCACTTGGTATGACATGTGGTCGTGACATTTCCGTCATGACTTGAACGTACATTTGCATGTTTGTATGCTTGCTTATAAGCTAAACCATAACAATCTGACAAACGTGTTCTTTTTCCCAGTGAAATGCATTAATGAACTTTAATGACCTCCAACTATTCTTTTGGCTTGTCTAATGACTTTTTTTAAAGCTTGATTTAGTTTTCAACTAAAAAAACGTGACACTTTCAGTTAACTTACACGACAACGGTGTTTTGGGGCCTGAAAATGCATTTTTTTTTTTAAATGGGTTTTCAAAGTGGAAGTTTTTTTCTTAAAAATAAACGATACCATTGAAATCTCTGTAGAAAAACTACAAAAACGCGAATTTGTTGTACATGTAATGCATGTAGTGTTTTTATTTATTTATTTATTTATTATTATTATTTTTTTTTTTTTTTTTTTTTTTTTTTTACAAAATTACTAACTATTCTGGCATGAATACAGCATTTTTAGTCATTTTCGTGGATCTGTGTGATTGTTTTGACAATGGTGTTTGTAATTTCCTTTGTAAATGCAAAGGAAAAAAAAATCAAATTTTTAGTACATTGTTGTCGTGACGTGTAAACATACCTTTATGTACAATATACAGGGTGAATTTAAGTAGCCTAAACTGGGCATTCTTGCTACTCATCTCACCCTGAAAGTGGCCTTATTTACCCGGATTCACTCACAAATTGAACTTTGACTGTTTATACAAGCCAAAATTTCATAAATATCATGCAAACTCTTTTAATTTGGTCATATTTTTTAAGAAAAGCTCAGTATTTTTGAACTGTAGATGGAAGGCTACGCAAATAGCCCACATACTTCATCAAAAGTGACCTCCTCTAGATCCCAGTTCTCAATGTTGAAGAGCAGCACCACTCGCCCATACTTGTCCCTGGTGGAGAGGATTCGTGGGTAACCGGCTTCAATTGTACTACGCACGGCCTCCGGGGTCAAATTCTCAAACAGCTCCGGATAGTCTCGTCTAAAGCGCACATAACCTGTCAAAGAGGGAGAAAAACAAATAGACTAATCATGATTTGTAGAATGTAAGTGAAAATCTTAGATCTCAACAATGCCTTTCTCACATTTGCCAAGATACCAAAATCTACAAACTACAGCCAGTGTATTCTTCAAAGACCAGATAATCTGAGCTGTTATCCAAATTATTTTACAGTTCTCTATGACAATAATTTACAGTAGTACACAAAAGTGATGGAAACTGACATTCACCTTTTATTTAAATATTATTCGATGTGTTGAAGATTTTGTAAGTAAATTGTATAGTTGTGCTTGGACTCAATTTTATTTGTGATGACGCAATGAAACATGCCAAAATGTGCTGACACAATTTTTGTCAAGGCTGTCATACAAAGAAATTATGAACGCATGTAAAAACAAGACAGAACCACTGAAATATTAATAACTGAATCGGATTATGCTGTTGTTTTTTTTTGGGCATAATAAAATAAAACCTGTAGCTGTAGTTCGCCTTTTTTGCCAAATCATTTTCATATAAATACTTTAACCAAGTTTAGTGTTTTGTTCTTCCCTAAACAAACAAATAATAGGCCTATGTGAAAAAATCTAAGATATTTTCCTCATATTTTGATGGTTTAATCAAAGTGGTAGAATATTTAAAACCAAAAAATCCCTCCAGACATCACTTTTTGCAACTCCTGTATGTATTTATTTTAATTTGTCTATTTGAAATAAGATATTTCAGGAGCTACTGTATGAAAGGTCTGTTTTGTGAGCAGTGTTGGGGAACATTACTTTTAAAATTAATGTTACAATTTTGCGTTACTCCCTAAAAAATGTAACTAATTGCGTTACTTGATTACTTTTTGTGTAAAGTAATGCATTATGTTTCTTTTTGTGTTACTTTCTCTATTTTTCTGCCACCCAGAATGGCAGCACATCCGAAAGGTTTGCAACTTCTTCGGGATTAATAATTTTTTACTTTATTTACATCAGCCAAAAGTTTGCACACGGCACCTTTACTCCTGATTTCTCTCAACTTCGGTCAGTCAATAAATGGGAAAACAAAGTAACTTGCATTATTTGACAAAGTAACAGAAATATTTTGTCGTAAATTTAAACGTAATGTTTGACTTTTCTAGTTACTTGAAAAAAGTAATCTGATTACTTGTAATGTTTTACCCCCAACACTGAATAATAGCAATACTGTTTCTTGTCATTCTCTCTTAGTGTGTTTGTCTCCATTAATGCAGTATTTCGTGCTGTTTCTCATGCATTTAAAGGTTCAGTCATGTGTGCAAGTGTTTCTGTGGGCTGTGCATGTCTATTAGAAATGCCAGATTGTGTGAAATATGCAGAACATCAAAGCCCAGCCTGTCTGGCTGTTCTCAGCCCCTTTGAGAAAGAGAACCTGCCCTATTTGTGCACAAAGGGTCTCTTTGAAAGTTTCGTTAAAGCCCCAATTAAAGCAGAGATTTTGTCCCTGTCCCAGAGACGAGGAGGTCTGAGGATGCGTAGATGAAGACAAAAGCATATTTAGATGGTCACAATAACACGGCCTAGCTGGGAAACAATGGAGCAAACGTGTAAATGCATTGATGCCACGGTATAGCGCTTTACCTTTCAAAAGCTCGTGTGCTCTCTTCACGTCAAACTTGCGTGCGCGTATGAATCTCAGCAGAAGGGAATCTGGTTTGTCCCTGAATTTTTCTTGCACAGCTTTGGCCAGATCGTCCCCTTCGTCCGCCTTTTCTTTTATCATGGCCCTCAATTCCTTTATAGAAGACACTTTCCTCTCCTCCGTTTCATTTAGTTCATCTTTAGCCTTTGAGATAGGAAGGTACATTTACGTTTATGTGGAACTTAAAGATACATGTGTTTATAGCAGCGTGTAGTACAGTGATACCTTCTGTTTTGTGTGATCCAAGACTTTCTTACAGGGTCCGTACACCGGGCCGTGGTCCTTAACAGTCAGATGTTCGAGCTTAGCACGTAATGCTTGTTCCTCCTCAGACACCATGCGAAATGTTCCAGTCTAATGGGATGAAAAGGAAAATAAGCATTATATTGCCACAGACAAGAGGGTTTAGAGAAAACTAATCCGTGTCTACATAACCCTGCTGGTTAGATCTGCAACTCTTAGTAAACCAGTGACTGTTTAATAATCCCTATCACATGACCCCCTTGAACACCTTGAGAAACAAGAGATTATTTCATCCCACGGAGTGCATTCAACAGTGGAGTTAATGCAGTCTTTTAAGTGCTTATTATGGAAGTAGAAATAATAGTGTACTTACAGCAGCCATGATGCTGAGATGCTCCAGTGGCTGAACGGAAACTGTAAAAATGATATTTCATATTTGGTCACTTTATTATTATTTTTTAGATTTAATCAATTTGAGAATTAAATAAAGCTACACATTTTGCATTTAGATGATCTAATTTATAAATAAAGCCATATATTATTTTGAAAAAAAAAAAAAAAAAGGTCATGGGAAGGTTTATCCCTAAAACCGTATTCTGGACCAATGTGGGCAAAATAGTTTTGATTTATTTTTAAAAAATACTTCTCTTCATCTGAGCGGTACAAGACTTGACTACTTTTCCTAAGTTTGCCTCCTGAACACACACAATTTTTTTTTTTGACTCAATTCTACAATGTTAAGTGGGTGAAAAAAACAACTAATCTTGCATTTGGGTCAAAAATGGGCACCCATAGAAATGAATGGGAAAAACTGTAATTTAGAGCATTCTAAAACAAGCCAAAATAAGATACCAGGTGACAGCAAAGTCACTTCATCTTTAGGTTTTAGCTCTAAGAACGTATTGGAATGATATTTTAATGTAGTTAAATAATAAAACATAAAATAAGCATAATTTGCATAGAAAATATGGTACTTTTTGAAGTAAATAAATTCAAAAATACCACCAAAATAAAAATGTGGATTTAGGGCTATAAAGTGAATACGGTTTGAGGGCTACTCTTAGGATCGTTTTTCCAAAAAGGCTTTTTGAATCTCTGCTGCAATAATCTTCAATTTATTTAAGATTATCTTTTATGACCCATTTTCAATCTGGGCATCATTTAGTTACTTTATATATATATATTTCATTAATTAATGTGAAGTTTAAGTCTATATTTGATGTAAACATAAAAATTGAACGTTCCAGGATTTACTGATGCAGTAGCCTAATAACTTAAATACATAACTGATGGGAAAAAAAGCAAATGTAATTTAGTCATATTAATTCAAACTCCATTTAAATATATTTATAAAAGGGAATATTGGCTTGAGAAAACCTTGTTTGAAAGTTTTTTGGGGAAAAAACAAAACATTTCATCAAAGCAGTTTTCCTGATCAGAGAACAGAATAAACTCCCGAGATTTGTAAGACGACAACAAACAATTGAAATGGCAACTAATGGATTAAGCTAAATACCAGCATCAGTCATTTAATAAAAAGCATGTTTGAAGTATCAGTCAGTGGACCCTGAATCTAGCTCAGCATCCTCTTAGCCTGTCAGCTCAGACACAGCAAGCCTGCAACTTTAATAACACTCAAAGACTGTGACTTACCTCAGCCGAGGGCGATTCAGAAGTGACTCGGAGAAGGGCTGAGAGAGGAGAGGGGTGATGAGGACTGTGGAGGGCTGAGATTAAACTGTCACACCCCATAACTCACAACAGATTCATGTAAGCTACATAATAAACACGCATGAGGGGAGGGCCGAACGGGACCAACAACTAAACATCATCTGGTGGACAAAAATGAGTGTGATCTACAGTA